GGCCATGTCCTTTTGATGCAGGCATAGGGAGATTTCAAGTGGGCACCATCTTGCTTTGTTAATACCTGGTGTGTAACTTCCTTAGAAGTTTGACTTCCTCATTATCCTCTTAGGAATATCCTTTCTTTTCCTTACAATGCAAGAAGACAAACTTGTTAAATGCAGCAGATAGGAATGCTTATCTGACCGGGCAGAAAGAAAGACCTGTTCTGTTTCAGTATCACTTTTACGTTACTAGATTTTACTTTTTACCCCATGTGCATCTATACTGTCATTTGTTTAAGTCCATAAGCATACATTACATTTTTAATATGAAAAAAGTTAATAAGGCAAGGCATTTTTATTCATTTGAAATACATTTGTAGTTTCCTAGGTATCAAAGTTTTAACTCATTCTAAGAGCAATTTGCAAACAATGAGCAAATATCAAAGGACATTCTGTCCTTAAATACAATCAAATAGAAACAGTAGCAAAGCAACAGTCAGCGCCTGCCTTTTCCAAATGAGTTATCAAAATTCCGTTTTAATAGATCACACATTTATGATAAGGAAAATGGATGCTGTGCTGCTTTTCTTTCAAGTTGACCTTTATTTAATCTTATAATTATGTGAAAGCCTCTTTAGGCTTTCCAGGGAAGCTTAAGTACTCAGAGTAGGTAGGTACAGGTGGGGGAGTGGGAAAATGAAACTAAAAGGAAATACACATTTTAACCACTCCACCATTCTAAGCTAAGAAAATATTCTTTTCCAACCCAAATGAATTTTATCCTAGGTGGGGCCAAAAAAGAAACAAGGGAGTTCTAACCTAAAAATCCAGTTTTTTCCTGTGCAGCAATGATATTGGGATGTTGACGTGAGTATCTGTTTTAGTCATTAATGCTTGTCTGTCTCAGAAAGGGAATTATGAATTTTCTACATCACTAGGTTATAGCTCAGTAAAATGGCACTTACTACCATGGTGCTTACTACAAATCCTAAAGCCAAACTGAGCCAAAGACTAGAGTTTTCTGTCAGCTATCTCTGCGAATGTGGGAAAATAGCCAGTCTGCTCAATTTCCCTTGAATAAAATGGAGATCCCAGAATTGCATGGGAAAGAGGATGAAAGATTAAAGAACTAGGCACTGGGCAATAAAGTATAGTAAAACTGGCCAAGGACAGTGTTCAAATAGTTTACTGGTTACTATCTGAGTTCCTTGCGCACAGTTGCAAGACCACTCAGGTTCAGAAAACAATGGGATTTATTTATTTATTTATTTTTAAAGATTTATTTATATTATACAAGCACTGGGTACAGTCAGAAGCGCGGGAGGGTGAGAGAATTCACCAGAGCCAGAGCAGGGAGCAGAACAGGCAGACTGACGAAACACACTGCTGAGGGGAGCAGCAGGTGGCAGGAGAGGTCTGCGCACCATGTGGGACCCTCGCCCGGCAGCTGGGGATCGAATGGGTGCTGCCTAGGCTGTGGGCAGCTTCACAACCCAGCGCTCAACCGCTGTGCCACTGGGGAGGCCCTACAATGGGATTATTCTAACAAACAAGGAAAAACAGAGACACTGAGGCCACAAATGGCTGTTTACCTCACCCGAAGCAGTGACCAGTGCTAAACAAAAGGTGTCTAGGTGGTGTCTTCCCACCACAGAATGCCTAAAGCTCGTGGTGGCCAGATTACAGGCAAGGTTCCAATCACAAAGACATAAAACACAACACACACTCATTGGAGCTGTCGGATGCCCTAGCGTAGCACCAGACAAACAACACTGAAAACAGCAGCTGCAAGAGCAGAACTACCAGATAAATGACCACAGTCATGCAGCTCAGAGAGGCATCCAGCTCAGGGTCTTCACCTTCCTTCCAGGCAATAACAGCAGCAAAGCTGGGTACAGTTTCAAGCACTCAGCTACCTGCAAAGCCTCTGAACTTTTCTTCTGAGGTTGGCTGCTGGAACCCTCTCCACATCCTTCAGAGGCCGCAAGAGCCTTCTGGAAGATCAGTGTGGTACGGTCGGAAATGGTTGACCCCAGGATTGCTGAAAATTGGAAAACACTGCTGAATCCTGGGACAGCTTCTGCAGTCCCTTATATTTCCTATCAGTCTCCACTCCCACAGATACTTTGTTCCTATTTTGCCTGGGCTATTTATCCTCACCTGCATCCATCCCTACTTCCAGAGGATCACCTCTAACAGTCTTTGGTTTCAGCCCCTTGTTACAAACTTACTATTTAAAACCTTGCCTGGCATACAGAGATTCCAGGAACATTAATTGTTAGGGGGAGTGGGGGGGGTGGGGGTGGGTAACAGAATGGAGAACAGAAAAGGGGAATTTATTGAAATACTCTGCTGAGTGGAACAGCAAGGGAGATGGGAGAGGTCCTCTGCCCTGAGAGACAGAGCACCATTTATTCTCCAGGCATCAGGGATTGGCTAGGATATCTGGCCTTAGGATATCTGGCCTTAGGTGTGTCCTGACTCATGATGGGATCATCAGCTTTATGGCTAGGTTCCCGAAACTACCCTATCCTCTCCCTTACCCATTCAAGACTCCCAAACTTGCCTGCTGGGAAAGGAGTGGGGGCTGTTTGCAACCTTGGTAATGATACCCCCATGTCAACTATTAAAAAATCCCACAGTCAGGTTTAGAATTTGTTAAGTGCTGACTTAACAACCCATTGTCATTGAATATAAACTTATTATGGACAGGTTTAGATCACCCCTAAAATTGTTAAACTTAACCCCCATGTGATGGTACTAGTTGGGGTTGGGAGGGAGGTCAGGTCATGAGGGTAGAATTCTTTACAATGGGATTTAGTGCCCAGAGAGGCCCCTTGCTCCCTCTCCCATGTGAGGACACCATCAATTGGCAACTATCTATGAACTGCTGAACAGGCCCTCATCAAACTGCAGGTAGTGCCTTGAGTTAGGAACTTTCCAATTTCCTTAACTGAGAAAAAAATCCTGTTACTTGTAAACCATCCAGTCTATGGTATTGTTATAGCAGTACAAGTGGATTAAGACAAAATTTAAAGATCACATCTAGCAATACAAAACTCTTATATCCAAATCTCAAGGATTCTTGACTTTATTTCTATACTATTAGACTTAGTTTCTTTAGAGAGAGACCCAGAAGAGTATTCTAGCAAAGGCTTCCAGGCTCTCTGATGAAAACAGTGCAAAGTTAGGTATATAGTTACCAGAGGACTTGGAGGAGAGGGAAAAGGGACAGGGGAGGAAAGTTGGAGATAGGGTTGTGGCAGGGAGAGGTGGTGGGGTAGTGAGGCAAAATATACTTATGCAGTTGTACACCCCGAATTACATGGTTATGTAAGCTGTGGCAAATTAATAAAATTCGAAGGAAAAAAATTGGGTCTAAACAAAAACTTCTAAGTCATTTATTCTAAGTCAGACTAATTTAGGCTAAACCTTTCCTTAGAATGAAGATGGCTTAGAGCAGTGTTTCTCAAGACAGAATTAGTCATACTGGTAGGGTGCTTTAAAATTATCTATTTTAAACTTTTCAGGTGCTCCCGTAAACTCTGAGCAATTGTTTCCAAAGGTTAAATGTTCTTCTCATAAGTCCACCGGACTGCTTAAAATGCTTATTAAAAAATTCTAAGGTAAATTAATAAACTTCATCTTATTTATTTATTTTTTTGGCTCTTTGGGGCTTCACAAAGTCATTTGCATACATAATTAGATTAAGCCAGCTGCAGCTGGTATCTCCTAGGGATTATATACTTTGAGTCAACCTTTATGGTATGACTTTTTACTATGAAATTTGTCGTGACAATCTCTTAAATTGTTCATAAAGTAAAATCCTAATAAAGCTTATTTTACTTTCAGGACTGGACTAGATCTTTTTCTTTTTTTTTTCCTGGCTGGCTGGGTACAGATAAAGTGGTTGGCTGCTACTTAAGAGATGTCATTTGAAGAATACTTACTGTTACACCTTTTATAATTTTTATATATATCTATATATATAGATATATATATTTAAAGAGCAGGTTTATTAGGGAAAGAGGCAGAAGAGTAAAAGACACTTGCATAGACACAAGCAGCAGGAAGAGCTGCCCCGAAAGGGTCAGGTTTGCTGAGACAGGCCTGCATGGTTGCAGGTGGGCAGCCTTGAGAGTGGCCTCCACTGAGGGAGGTCAGTGAGGAGAAGCCCCGGCATAGTACAGGTCACAGGCAGGCAGGAAGCTGCTGCCCTGCAGAGGGAGAGTTGGTGAAAAGAAGCACCTGTATACTCACAGGTGGGCAGAAAGACTGCTGCCTGTTAATACATTTGCTGTGAATACATTTTGCTGAAAATACCTATAGGATGTAACATTACATAGTATTTCCTTGGTGTTTTCCATGAATGGAAAATAACCACTTATTGAGTACCTCCAATAGGTACTGATGCAGATTTGGGGCACTTGCCACATAGCCATCACCAATAAATATGGAAATACTTTATTAACCAAATGGGGAAGCCATTTCCTGAGATGAAACTGACAGAAAAGATTAAGGAGAAAAAAGCATGATAATGTGGAGGTAGGTCCTTCATAGGAAAAAGATTGGATAGCAATGAAATAAGTCTATAGCTCTCTCTTAATCTTTAAATACTAATCTTTAATTAGTATTTCTTGGAAACAAGTTCACATAAGTATCATCTTCTAGCCCTTCAATAATAAATGTCATAAAAATATGATTCATCATTGATGGAAAAGTAGTTTGCAGTAAATTCCCTGAGTATTTACTTTTAGGATTAACTTATAAGAAATGCCAAGTAATGCCATTTGTTTCAGAAATAAATATTTTTCACAAAGAAAAAATACAAAGACATCTTCAAGTAGACTGCTCAATGAATTCTTTTAAGATTCTCTCAAGAATTCATTCTAAACTCATACTATTGCAAATGTTTTAAAAATTGTCATATATGAATAGCAGCAATTTAAAAAGCATGTAATCTTAAGGGGAATCTTCCTAAAAAAAAGAGCAATTACATCAGGACCTTCACTTCCCTTTGCCACCTGACAGAACTAAAACTTTTTAAGATAAAGAACAAAGGAAGCCTTGAATAGGAAATGAATTTATTAATGCACAATGTTTAATGGAGGTTAAAGAAGAGAGAAAAAAGCAATTTCAGACACTTCTTTATATCCAGTCTGGGTAGGAAAGGTTTGTGGTAGACAGTGTGTACAGGATCATTTTGTTATGTTTTTAAGGTAGTGATGGAAGTACTCCCTACTTGTTTCCTCCTAATTAGTCCAAACTGCAGCAGTTTTGCCAAAATTTGGCAATTTCAATTGTGGAAAACATAATGTGAATAGCGCTGAACCTGGAGTTAATACCAACTGCCATCCACTACAGTCAGCAACTTTCATGTTCTTATTTGTAAATTAAGGGTAGAAGACAAGGGATAATACAAAACAGGTAAAAAATATAAAGGATTATTGAAATTTAGACAATTCAGAGGAAAAAAAATTAGTGTAAAACTTTTATTTTGACAAAACTTGACAAATTTTACATTCTAAACTCCCAAAGTTTTCCTTAAAAAATAAGAGACATGGCCTGCCAGACTCTAAGATTTCAGGCATGAATAAAATAGTATGAGATTTCCAAGGTATATAATCTAACAGCATTTCATATTCCATATAAGAGAATTGTTACAAACATTAGCTAGTTTCAGTGTACTTATAAGAAACACAAGGACATAGCTGGATTTTCAAACAAAACTTCTTTCCAACAAACTTCTAACTAAATGACATTCATATTCTCATTTTAGTAAACACAATTCCACAAATATCAAATTGCACAAATAGTTGCTTTATGTATTTTTTTTTCTTTTAAGATTCATTTTTATACAAGAGCTGGGGCACAGGCCAGAGGCACAGGAGGGTGAAGGGATTCACCAGAGACAGAGTGGGGAGCAGAACAGGCAGATGGACCGAAATACACTGCTGAGGGGAGCAGCAGGCATGACAGGAGAGGTCTGCCACAACTTGTGGGAATTTCCCTGGCCGGCAGGGAATCGAACTGGCGCTGCAAAGGCTGCGACACAGGGGAGGCCCAATAGTTGCTTAATATAATCTCAATTTGGAAACTGAAAAATAAGAGGAATGTACACAGCTAAGTAGTTAAGAATGCCACACTTCTTACACAGAAGCACATCATGATAAAGAATGTTAGAAGTAGTTCTGGCAGAAATGAGTTTTGAAAATTTAATATAAGAAATAAGCTTTATCAAGAAAGTGAAAATCTTTAGTGAATATTAAGTATTGACTCAATTCTAAATAAGTAGCAAATTATTGATTTCATGTGATTAGTTACTAACATACATATTTAAGACATTAATACTATTCAATAGAACATTTCAATGGTGCTAGAGGATATATTCTTACGCTTTACTTTTACTTAATATTTATGACAAAATTCCTCGATAGAACGTTATAGATTATTCTGCACTAAGTGTACATGATACATAGCAAGTGATTGCTTTTTACCTTCAATGAATCTAATTTTAATTTGTACAAAATTATAAACTTTTTCACATACATGTATGGCCAAAAAGTGCTTCTCAAATGTTCATGGTCCATTTCCATAATGTAAAAACAAAAAATAAAGGCACACAACAGTTAACAGTTTGTATATATGTGAATTAATGCTATCTGAAGAAGTGACAAACTTTTTACAAATTTCTATTATTTGGGAAATTAAAGATCTGAGAACTAAACAGTGCAGTTCTGTGCAATTAATATACTGGTTCATTCACTGCAAACTGCTAACTTACTGCTTAATCTCTACAGGCTGCAGGTACCAATCAGGAGATCCAAAAGACTGAGAAGGACTTGTTGAAATTAGTCTTCCACATAAGTTGTTTTGAATCTTGTTACAATAGATTTAATTTTGTGAGTTAAATTTTATAATTACAAAGGCATTTACCCTAACATACTTGAGTAAAACATAAAGAAATACACATAACCTTTTAATGACTGATGTTTCTCATTTAGGTACAAAGGAATTCATTAGCCAGCAGCATTTAAAAATAAGAGTCCCATTTCTTTTCTTTTCCCGTTTACAAAGCGCTGATTTTAACTGGGTAGACATACTAAGTTTTTCAATAATGTCATTGTGTCACTAATGGATTCAAGAAAGTATTGAAAACTGAAATTATTTAGTACTTTAAAATTACACTGCTACAGAGCATAGACTATGAATGATTTTCATCAGTAAAAAAGCATACCTTACATGAGAATCAGAGTTGATTTAATAATTACTTCACAGAAGCATAGGTTTGCTAATGTTTATGTCAACTTTTGTTAATCACCAAAACCAGAAATGGTTTCTATAGTCAACTGAACTCTAAGCACCACCAAAGAGGAGGGTCTTGCAAAACAGAGCCAATACTCCTAAGACCCTAAGATAAAAACCTCAGCATATTTACTTTTAAAATAGTAAAACAAGTTAAGAATTAGAACCAGAGGCAGCATTTTAAAGTACCATGGGTTGTTAAAAGTATTTTCTTGACATAAAACTTCGTGTAGTTTTTAACAACATACCGAATTCTCAAAACAGTGCTACTGTGTCCAGATCTCCTCCATTTTGCAAAAATAAATTAAAAAAAAAAAAAATCTCTACCCTAAAAACTAGTATAAGTGGAATTAAACTCTTTCCCTCATCCTCTTTTCGGGATTAACTGGCTCTATTTGCATTCCTGGGAACTTGGAAAACTGTGTTACATCTCTAAAAATTCTGTGTCCCTTTGGGGTTTACAGTGGCATCAGAAACATACATCTTCTGAGAAAATACCCTCCAGGGAAAGTCAAATGCCTTCACTCATGTTGCCCAGACTGCCCAGAACCTTTTCCTACCTGGAAATGTGAAACCCTGCACTTCCCTCACATTCCTTCCCCAATTCTGTAATTCCAACACTGCCTACCATTCCTAGAGCTGTTTTTTTGGGGGAAAAGGGGACTCCCTTGAGGCCACCATGAATAAACTCCTCTGTTTGAAGACATTTCTTGGGGTTCAGTTTGGCTTTCTGGGTGTGAGAATAAGACCTGGTTTGGTTATTTACACTATTAGAAACTCAGGAGGAAAATGTACTAGAGTAATTTAAAAAAATGAATGTTGCCTAAATTTTAGCTCAGTGATTACAGCCAAAATTGATTTTTTCTTAAATCGACTACTTAACAATACAAATAGGATAGTAACAGGATTTCCATACTCATTATTCTTTAATTAGTATTTCTGCATTTCAACTCTGACTTGTCCTTCCATAGTCACTTAAAATGCAACTAGCAAAAAAAAACCACCAACCATCCAATCAACGAGGGCTGCGTGCAGTTTTTGTTCACCCTTAAAGATACTGTCGGTTTCATTGCAATTTGTATTTGGGAGCTGGGAGCGTAACCACCTTTAAACAAGAGATACTTCCAAGTGCTGTATTTCTTACTTTGTATGGTATCCAAGAATGGTTAAAGCAAAGGAACTCTTAATCATCAATTCTGTATCCCCAGATAAAGAGGGAAGGCAGGGAAGAGGGTGGCATGTGCAAAGGTACCAGGTCAAGGTTTGATGAAGTGCTCCCCATTCCAACTTCCCCAACTCAGAACACAGAATTTAGCCTAAGTGACTTCTGACCTTACTTACATCCTTACCTATATCTAATAGTCTATCCGTGAAGACAAACTTCGTAATTTTCTGAAAGACAGTTTTACCCAAATACGTTGGACTTCGGTCTCAACTTGAATGAAGAGTGGCCTTTAAGAGAGTGGTCATCTTCCTCCTCCTCCTCCTCCTCTCCCTCCTCCAGAGGCTGATCTAGGTCTCTGAATGATGGTGTGGTATGGACGATTTGCGTTCGAAAGCGCATTTTGTTGAGTCTGGGTTTGATCCTTCCACTAGAATTGCCAGAGGCTTTACGACCTGGCTCCTTTACTTTGCCTCCAGCCAATCCCTCAGCCAAGTGGTGGTGGGGATCTCCTCCATCCTCTGGCATGTGCGAGAGTCTGTAGGTGATGAGGTGCGAAGGGAGCACCTTTGAAAACCTCCAGCGCCCACCGCCACCGCCCGCGGCGCTCTCTCTGTGGTCCAGGTCCAGGGCTCCCACCAGGTTCTTTATCTCCTCAGCGGTGCTCTGACTCAAGTACTGCGCGGCCTTTCTCCCACTGTAATCCCGCGCGTCCACATCTGCGTCGTAGGCCCCCACCAGCAGCTTCACCACCTCCGCGTGCCCATGCATGGCGGCCAAGTGCAGGGCAGTGTAGCCTCCGCTCGTCCTGGCGTTGATGTTCACGGGCATTTGGTGCTTGTTGGCGAAGTTGACCAGCAAGGCCAGGACTTCCTGCCTGCCGTGTTTGGCGGCCCAGTGCAGGCAAGTGAAGCCAGTGATGAAGTCCCGCTTGGCCAGGAGGCCTGGATCGCTGCTCAGCAGCCCCTCCAGGCTGTCCCACTGGCCTTCCGCGGCCGAGAGCATCCAGGCGTGCTCCAGCGGGTCCAGCGCCACAGAGGCCCCGCCGCCGCTCTCCTCCTCCGCCGACGACGAAGCGACCGAGACGTCATCCGAGTCGCCCCCGCCTCTGCCGCGTCCTCCCCCGGAGGCGGCCGCGGGGCCGCCGCCCGGACCGGCGCTCCTCTTCAGCTGCGGGGAGCTGCCCGGCGCCAGGTCGCGAGCGTTCTGGCGGGGATTCTTCAGGGTGGCGACCTCCCCGGGGAAGCCGCCTGCGTGCGTCTCCCTGCAGCTGGGGGCGCCGGGTCTCCACCAAGTTCTGGGGCCAGGCCCCGCGGCAGAGGCTGCAGGTTGCACCCGAAATTCTCGCTCCAGGTCTCGCCACTCGCCCCCGGCCGTCGGTTCCGCCCGTCGTCGGTCGGGTCTGGTAAACCGAGCGCGGCGGCGGGGGTCTCCCATCGCCGGGCTCGACACCCCGACCCAGAGGCTCCTCGGGGCCCAGGCCACTCTCCCCCGGCTCCTCCGGTGGGTCCGGTGTCCCCGCGGGGGGCGCGTGCTCCGCGGTGCCCGAGACGCAGGGCGGGACCTGGAGGGGCGCGGCCCCGGCCGGCTGGGAGCCTTCGCAAAACTTCCTTTTGAGGTGTACGTACTTGGCGCCGTCGGCCGGGTCGGTGCGCACCGTGGCCACGGCGTTCACCAGCTCCTTGAAGCGGGCGCGGGCGCGGGCGCGCTGCTCCGGCTCGCCGCCCAGGGCGCCCCTGAAGTGCCCCACCAGCTCCGCGTGCCGGGCCCGGCCTCCGCGCTCCGCGAGGAAGCGCAACACCGCCTGGGGCTCCAACTCCGCGGGCCCCTCCATCCGCGGCCGGCAGGTTGCCTCAGTGCCGTCGAGGCCGCGAGGACGCCGGCTTCCGACCACCCTTAGGTCCCGGGAGGCCGTCGACACTCCCCACCCGCGGAGCCTCAGCCACTGCCTCACCGTGCCGCGCCCCGGCGGCCCCGCCCACAGGCCCCGCCCACTTCCGGTCCCCACCCCACCCCCAGCCGCTCTCAACCTCAGCGGCCGCGGCCGGCGAGCCCCGCCACGCCCACTTCCGGCCCCCGCCGGCTGGTCCCCTGGGCCTGGTTCCTTCGTGTTCTCCTCAAGCACCCACCCTCCCCGCGCCGCCCCGGCTGGGGCTCTGAAACCACAAGCTGCGCTTCGTCTCGCCGGCGGCGCGACGACCTGGCGCTCCCCCGACGGGGGCCCCGCCCCTGCGCGGTGCCGGCGTCACTAAGGACTCGAGGCCGAGCCCGCCCCTTCCCGGGCCCCGCCCCCGAGGGGGCCGCCCCGCCCGTTGCTCCGCCCGCCCCGCCCGCCCCGCCTCCGCTCGCTCCAGCCGTGGCTGGCTTGCGCCGTTCGAGGCCGTGGGCCAGACCGTCGCTCCGCTGGCCCTCAGCCCGCCATCTCTGGATTCCCGCTCGGGACCATGACCTCCTCCGACGTGGCGCGACACTTGGTGAGTTTCGGCCGCCCCGACGCCCCCTCCGCCTCTCGGCACCCCACTCCCACGCCCTTCCCCCGCCGACTCCCGGAGCCGCGCCCCGCCTCCCCTGGAATTCCAGCGTAGCCTCCTCGGCCCGCGGGGGCGGCGGGCGGGAGTGCGGCTCGCCGGTCCTAACCCTCGTCCCGCCGGCCCCTCGCGCCCCGCGGCCCGCCGGCCCGACCCGGCGCGAGGAGGGATTCTGGTGCGCGCCGCGTTCACGGCGGGTGCGGGCGCAGCCCGCCCGGGACGCGAGAGAGACCCCTTCCCTCTCCCCCCCCCGCCCCGCCCCGCCGGGAGCTGGGGCGCTGCCGCGATCACAAGTTTTTGCACGGCTGCCTGGTCTGTGCCAAAAGTTGAATATGCAGCAGTGATTGTAGTTCCGTCTTTTTGATAACGGTTTTGAACACGCCAAGCAGATTGCTCTAATGGCAGTGATTTTCTTTCCACAGTTGTGCATACTTCTCCGACCCTTTAATGGAGCCCAACTTCCTTGGCCTTTTAGAAGCTCCTTTTTTACCCAACATGAGACTTGACCGAGTTACTCTCTGTTAGGACTTGAGCCATTTTTTTTGCCATGGCACTCATACTTTATAAGAATACTTGTGACTGGTTTGTCCTGTGTTTTATGCTTTTCAAATCACTTTGTATATTTATCTCATGCAATAGTGGCCCTCACAGTGAGGGTACAGTTATTAAATATATGTATTACTAAGCTCTTAATTGCCTTTTCCACTCTCTTAGGAGAGTGGAATCGATCTTTCCAAACACTACTTGATGTGGAATGATCTCACGGTTTTATAGGAGTGCTAATGGAACATGTCCCTGTGTGTACTTAAAAAAAAAAAATCTGTTTTAATTTCTAGTACTATAATGGTTGTAATGCAGACAAAAATTCCTTGGGGATGGAGACCAAAAAGTTTGAGAACTACTGGTCTAAGGAATCTTCTAAATTAGACCTTTAGATTATAGGAACAGTTCCGATTATAGTGGGAGAGGATAGGTGATGTGGCCAAATTATGCAGCCAAAATTTTGATAGCGCCTGGATAAGGATTTTTCTGCCTGCTTCATCTTGGGTCTCTTTCCGCTTCATCATGTCTTTAGAGGTGACTCAGTTGTTTGCTCTGAACTGTTTCCTTACAATTGCTGTTTTTGTGTGCATGTGCGTGTGTGAGGAAAATGTGTTTTTTTAATCTCTGATTCAGATTAATATTCAAAATTAAATTGGGCATAAGAGAGCACTTTTTTTGATGTTGATTTCTTGTCAGCTGCTGTACAGTAAAGTTATCTTTTTTAAATTTTCTTACATGTTTGTTTATTTTTGTACAATAAATGGTTTCTCCCTTCAGGGGTAGTCCCCATAGTTCTGTGAATCATCAAGATATTCCTTTGTGTGCTTCCCTCCCTGGCCTCACACCCCAGCTTCCTCCCCCTTCCCTGTTGTATGCCTTAGATCTATGGTCAGCTTGCTACTTTTTTGTCTTTTTCTTGATCTTTTGTTTGGTGTCTCTGATGGAGGACAAGAATAGAAATCAGGACCCTTAGGCATCAATGCCCAGATCAGGAGGCGCAACACCCCAAACTAGCCAATGATGGGGTTTTCGGAGATAGGAGTGCGGGTGGGGGGGGGTGGGGGGGGAGAGGGCTTGGGTTCACTCTGGGAAAGGTTTCACCTGAGCTCCCCTTTCAGCAGCACACAGCAAGTTTCCCAGGCAAGTTTCTCCACGAGACACAGACTGTAGTTATATTTAAAGAGCAGGTTTATTAGAAAAGGGATAGCACAGTAAAAGACACTTGCGTAGACACAGGCGGGCAGGATGAGCTGCCCCAAAAGAGACAGGTTTGCTAAGAGAGGCCTGCATGGCTGCAGGCGGGCAACCCTGAAAAAGAGCTGCCTCTGCTGAGGGAGGTCGGTGAAGAGAAGCCCTGGCAGGTACAGGTCACAGTACAGGTCACAGGCAGGCAGGAAGCTGCTGCCTTGTGGAGGGAGAGAGTTGGTGAAAGGAAGCACCTGTATAGTCACAGGTGGGCAGAAAGACTGCTGCCCTGTTGTGGGAGCAGCATTAGGTTTTATCATTTTCAATGAGGGGCTCATCTTTGTGGGTAGATGGTTTGTGCTCCTGACACTCCCTGTAGCAGTTTGATGGTTTTTGGGCGTTGCGCCTCCTGGTCTGGCCATTCATGTCTAAGGGTCTTGATTTCTATTCTTGTCCTCCATTGTCTCTATATTCTGCACATAAGTAAAACTATGCAATATTTATCTTTTTCCTTCTACTTATTTTGGTTAGCATACTCCGGTTCAGCTCTACCTGTGTTGCCACAAACGGCATGAGTTTGTCTGTTTTGATAGTTGAGTAATTGTATAAATACACCACAACTTTTTGATCCGTTTGCCTGTTTCGGGACATTAGGGTTCGGGACACTATTGTAAACAGTGCTCAATGAACATAGAAGTGAAGGTTTCCTTTTGAATTAGTGTTTTTGTGTTCTTTGGGTAGATTCCTAGGAGTGTGGTATTGCTGGATCATATGGCAGATCCATTTTTAATGTTCAGAGGAACCTCCACACAGCTTTCCATAGTGGCTGGACCAGTTTGCTTTCCCACCATACAATGGATAAGGGACTGATATCAAAGATCGACAGAAAGTTTACACAACTCAAGCCTTCTTTCTTTCTTTTCTTTTTTTTAATTTAAAGATTTATTTATTTATGCATATAAGAGCTGGGGTACTGGCCATAAGTGTGGGGGGGAGGGTGAGAGCATTCACCAGAATCCTCTGCATAGTGTTCTTTATAGTATTCCCTCATCCTTTTGATGTCTGCTGGGCCTGTGGTGATAGTCCATGATACATTCCCGATAATTATAATTTGTCTGTTTTGCCTTTCTTTGTCAGTCTTGGTAAAAGTTTTTTAATTTCATGCATCATGTCAAAGAACCAGTTCTTCCTTGTGTTGATTTTACTCTATTGTTTTTCTATTTTCAATACAACTGATTTCTGGTTATTTTCTTTCTTTTTCTTGTTTTTGGTTTATTTTGTTTTTCTTTTTCAAAGTATGTTTGTTTATTTTTGGAGACGCTTACTTAGTGCATTGATTTTAGACTTTTCCTCCTAAATGTATGTATTTGGTAGTTATTGTTTCCACCCTCAGCATTTCTTCAGTTATGTCCATGATTTTGGGTGTGTCCTATTTTCATGTTCATTCTACTTTATTTTTTAAAGAGTTTTGTGCTAAATCTCATTTGATGCCCATAACAGATTCTTAGATTTTTCATTTTTAGTTTTAAAATTTATTTTTTAAATAGAGATTTATTTATTTAGGCATACAAGAACTGGGGTACAGGCCAGAAGTGGGGGGTTGTAGTGGTGACAGGATTCACCAGAGACAGAGTGGGGAACAGAACAGGCGGATTGACCAAAATACACTGCTGAGAGGGGCGAGCCAGGAGAGGTCTGCTGCACCCTGTGGGTCACCTCCCTGGCATGGGATCGAACTTGTGCTGCAGTGGCTGCCAGTAGCTTCATAGTGCTGCATCTTAACCCCTTGTGCCACCAGGGAGGCCCCGACTTTTTATTTTTAATAGAAGAGTACATGAAGTATCAGGAATGTTTAGTGTCTCGCTCAAGGACTAACACCTAGTGTGATGAGATTTGCTGTTGGTCAGGTTGTTTCATTCATTACCTATGTCATATTCCTTATTAGTGCATCATTCTTATGAATCAAGAGATCTCTATTCTACAGTTATATATTGCTGACTGCAGTAATGAATCCTGAAGTAATGTTGACTACTTTTCTAGTTCCTGAGAACCATGCTCATAATTTTCCATTTCTTCCTGCTGTTCTTATTAAAACTTTTAAATGTGGTCTAAATCTTGTCAATTCCTGTCTGCACTTGGCATTTTCTGTTTCAGCTGCAGTGTTTTTGAACTCTGTAATATTTCTTTTTAGTTATCCTTTAGTGAGGGTAGTTTTTGTATCTTAAGAGAATTATATATATATGTTTTTAATTTTTTTACATTGTTCATTTTCGTACAATAATTAATTTCTCTGATCAGGTGTAGTTACTGTGTAGTTCTCCCACCACCATGGCACCCATGATCCATCACCAAATTCCCTTGTGCTGTGCTATGCCCTCCCCTATACTGACACCCCTTCTATCCCTCTTGCTGTGTCCCTCAAATATTTGGTCAGCTTGTAAGTTTTTTCTTTGGTATCTCTATATTCCACCTATACGTAAACCATCTGATGTTTATCTTTTTGCTTTTAACTTATCCATATTGCTGCATATGCCATGAGTTTGTCTTTTTTGATCGTTGAGTAAAATTCCATTGTGTATATATACCACAACTTTTTTTTTTTTTGATTTTTTTTTTTTTGATTTTTTTTTTTTTTTTTTTATAGAGGCATGCTTATTATTTGTTTGCTGGTTTTGTTTGTTTGTTTTGTTTATACATGCACTGGGTACAGTCAGAAGCGGGAGTGGCGAGAGAATTCACCAGAGCCAGAGCGGGGAGCAGAGCAGGCAGAAGGACCGAAGTACACTGCTGAGGGGAGCAGCGGGCGGCAGGAGAGGTCTGCGCGCCATGTGGGACCCTCCTCTGGTGGCCGGGGAGCAGCCGGGGATCGAACCGGCGCCGCAGAGGCCGCGCGCAGCTTCGCAACCCAGCGCTCAACCGCTTATACCACAACTTTTTGATCCATTCATCTGTTTTGGGGCATTCGGATTATTTCCATATCTTGGCTGTTGTAAATAGTGATGCAGTAAGCATAGAACAGATTTCCTTTTGAATTAGTGTTTTTGTGTTCTTTGGGCAGATTCCTACGAGTTGATCATATGGTAGTTAATTTTTAGTGTTTTGAGGAATCTCCAAACGGCTTTCTGTAGTAGCTGGACCATTTTTACATTCCACCGACAATGTCAGAGGGATCTCCACATCTTCACCAGCATTTGTTTCCAGGTTTTTTTGCTTTTTGT